AAAAAGGATGCTTAGCCAACGCTCAGGGTCGGCTCTGCTTTGAACATTGAGTTCCTTAGCCGTACCTTGGTTGCAACCAATAAACTTGAGTTGGACCCAGCCTGAAAGTGTGACTCTCTTCTTGGGGTAAATCAGACTAGCCTCCAAGGGGACGAAACCAGCAATTTATGCAACACCTGGAACCTGTGCCTGGGGCAGCTGGGTGGGGAGCTGGACCTGGGGCTAAAATATCCCCTTGGCATGAATGCTCCATGGAGGTCAGTTCAGCTCGCTTGGCTCGGCTGCCCCACTGCCCCCTGTGGAACTGTCCCCTTTGGCTGGAGACAGGGCTGGGGCTTGTTGACGGTTCAGGAAGGGGAACTGAGGGGCTGTGAATGCAGCAGCTCCCTGCCCTGTACGAGTGTCGCCCCCTGTGTGTGACCGACGGGAAACACCCGGCTCCTGCCTCACACCCGCTCCCTGGTTTCTGCCCTGCAGGTTTGAGATCCGAGGAGATGGTGACTGCGCGTATGTGAACAAGAACGGGATCAGCAGCTGGCGGTGCACCAGCGAGGGACACTGGATATGCAGCAAACCCGTTGCACTTACAGCAGCAAAGGAGACTCCAGAGGGAGGAGGCCTATAACAGAAGTGTTGGGCAATTGGCCCTGGGAAAGCTGGACTGGTCTTTCTTCAGCCTCACTCCTGAGCCTTTCCAGAGTGTCAGGGGCTGGTCTGAGCCTCTGTGGGTGAAAACCACAAAAGCCATTTGCACATTTGCTGTTTTCCCTGCCAGTGGAACTGCTCAGATCGGCCTTTCCCACCTAGTGCAAGGAACGCCTGAAAGTATTACATTGGTTTTAATTATTTTGTGTGCACTTTCAGAGATTTGCGCTAACAATGTTTACATATCAGTTAATTGAATAGTTGAGTAACTGCGTAAATTCTTATCAGTTAGTTGACTATTCTGTAGTCCCCGGAGTGGGACTAGCAGCCAGTGTGCTCTGGCCCCCTGCCACCCTGCTCTGCTCCCTCTGTATGGCTATGTGTAGACTACATGGCTCCTTCAACGGAGCCATGTAAAATAGTTTATTCGGCATGGTCAAAGAAGCGGGGATTTAAATAATCCCCGTTTAATTAAAATAAAAATGGCCGCCATGCTGTGCCGACGATCAGCTGATTCGACGATCAGCTGATCCGGTGCAGCACGGCAGTCTAGGAAGCCTTTGTCGACCCTCTGGTATGCCTCGTGAAACGCAGGGCTCAACATGCGGCCCACGGGATGCTTTAAACGTGGCTTCCACTGGGAACACGCACCACAACAGTGTGGTGTCTCCTGGGCGGGGTGGGCATTGAAAGACGCAAGCGGATGGGCTGGCTGGAACCAACGGTTACAGGGTGTTGGCATTTCTAGCCCTCAGGGAGGAGGTGCTGGGAATGCTGAGGCATTGTGGGAGTGCTGGCTGTTTAGCCTTGTGGGCAGAGCCTGAGAGGTGCTGCCTGGCTCAAACTGGCCACGTTTGGGTCCAGCACCATAGCCAGGCAGCTCCACCTCTGTCCCGCATGGAGCGACGGACTCCTGCGTGGGGGATGTCCCCTGCGTGGGGATGTCAGCCCTGCTGGGAATCCAGGACGGATCTCTCGAGCACCTGTCCTTTGTTGTCTCTCGTGTTCAGCCTGACTCGCCCAGCTCCCCCCCTACTGCAGGTTGGAGCAGTCTGGCTTGGAAACGTTTTCTGATTAACATCAGTCCAAGAAGTGCACAACCTCAAGCTTGAAGCTAAACACCCAAAACACCGGTTTACACTTTTCTTAACAAGAAGCATTAAAAATGTCAACAAAGAAGAGACGCTTGTTGGATGAACACAGGTTTTTCAAGCTGCTTCTGCCCTGCAGGTTTGAGATCCGAGGAGATGGTGACTGCGCGTATGTGAACAAGAACGGGATCAGCAGCTGGCGGTGCACCAGCGAGGGACACTGGATTAATGAAAAAAAACCTGCAACGGCTCCATGAATCTTGAAGCTCTGTGCATATATATTTCCATGTCTAAGCAAACACGCTTAAGCTGTGACCCTTGGCATGTGCTGTGAGTATCATTGTGGCTCCCAGGGCTTCCGAAGTTGAGTAGCTCTGATGTAGATCATCCCTGACAGGTGTCTGTCTAACCTGCTCTTAAATATCTCCAGTGATGGGGATTCCACAACTTTCTAGGCAACTTATTCCAGTGTTTAACCACCCTGACAGTTGAGAAATTTTTCCTAATGTCCAACCTAAACCTCCCTTACTGCAGTTTAAGCCCATTGCTGCTAGTCCTGTCCTCAGAGGCCAAGGAGAACAATTCTTCTCCTTGTAACACCCTTTTAGATACTTGAAAACTGCTAGCATGTCTCCTGTCTTCTCTTTTCTAAACTAAACCAAACCAGTTCTTTCAGCCTTCCCTCATCGCTCATGTTTTCTAGACCGTTAATCATTCTCGTTGCTCTTCTCTGGACCCTCTCCAATTTCTCCACATCTTTGGAATGGCGTCTTGTGTTTGCTCACGACACTCCTGTTAATGCAGCCCAGAATCATGTTTGCTTCTTGTGCAATGGCATCTCACTGTTGACTCATATTTAGCTTGTGTTTCACAATGACCCCTAGATCCCTTTCTGCAGGACTTCTTCCTAGATAGTCACTTCCCATTCTCTGTGTGTGAAATGGATTGTTCCTTCCTCAGTGGAGCACTTCGCATGTGTCCGTATTAAACTTCATCCTATTTACCTCAGACCATTTCTCCAGTTTGGCCTGATCATTTTGAATTCTGACCCTTCCTCCAAAGCACTTGCCACCCCTCCCAGCTTGGTATCATCTGCAAACTTAGTAAGTGTCCTCTCTATGTCAATATCTAAGTTGCTGATGAAGATATTGACCAGAACTGGCCCCCAGACAGATCCCTGCAGAACCCCACTTGTTATGCCTTTCCAGTAGGAGTGTGAACTGTTCATCTCTCTTAAGCACAGTGAGGTAGAGGGGGCAGGGAGCTGAGGGGGGCTCTTGTACAGTGGGGGCAGGGGAAGTATGAGTTGGGAAGCAGCAGCTGAGTGAGCATCCTGTGGGGCAGGGCTGGCCAATGCTGGGGGATCCTCAGGAGTTAGGGGGCCTCTCGCTAACCTGCAGCATGATAGCTGGTCTGTGTGGTGTGTGGGCCAGAGGGGTTGGGACCTGTCCCCAACAAGGCATCCCACTAGAGGCAGGAAGGTGACTCCCAGTCTCCCGGACTCTGCCTAAAGCCACAGTCCAGCCTGCTGAGCCTGAGTGCAGGGTCCTTGACATCTCACAGACACGGCTCTGTGGTCCCACTGGTTAGATCACGGCAGCATCTTTCTGGCAGATCCACCTGAACTCAACATCACACATCTCAGAATAAAGCTGGCTGCCTTTTAGCCGACCGCAGCTGTTCCCGTCCACAGGGCCGGAGACGGGGAAGCTGTAGAATGAAAGTCCGTGTCACTGTGGCTCCCTGTCACAAGGAAAGACCCCAGGTTGGGTCTTGCCTCCCCCTCGCACTGCTGGGAAGCTTGGATCTGCTGTCACCCTTGGTCTATCCACTCCCTGCAGAGCATCAGCCAAGCCGGCAGCCCAGAAGGTGAGAGGAATTAGCAGGACCAGGGCTGGTGCCCTGTGGCTCTGCCACTGGAAGTGGCCACCCTGAGCTCCCACATCTCGACTTTCCTTTAAAAGCCAAGTGAGAGCCGCGGGGTGAGGGGAACCTGCCCCCTGTGAGCCGGGTGAGGGGCGGCTGCAGGGAGCCTGAGGGCTGGTCCAGGTGAATGAGGAGAGCTGGATTCAAAAAGGGACTGAAGCGCCTAATGGCCCCTCTGTCCCAGACCCAGGTCCCCCTAGGAATCACCAAACCCTGGCTCAGCTGCCACCAAACTGTCCAGGCACCAGAACTTGCTCAGTGTTTAGAGGGCAGGTTTCCTGAGCACCACTGGCTGCCTCTCAGCATGTGCTGCCACCTCCCTCTAGCCTGCCCTGTTTACTCTGTGGTGTGATGCTGTTCCTCTGCCCTAACTCACCTGCGGGCCCCGAGCCAGTTGGCATGTGTGAGTCTGTCCCCCTAGGCTCACCCCTTGCACAACACTATGCTAACACCTGTACAAACCTGCCTTATGAGGTGTCATTTGAAAGCTCATAATTTGCTGATCATCATTGTCCTGCTAACATATGACAACATTGCATGCAGAGTTATTGTGGACAGTGGGTGAACCTCTGGCTGGGGGAGACAAGCCTCAGGCCCTACCCCATGGCCGCTGGCCTCTCCTTCCCACCCTGCAGCCCAGAGTTGTCAAGAAGGGTAGCCCCAGCTGCCCTGGAGCACTTGAGAGTCAAGCTGTGGGGACAGTGGGACCCCAGCCACTCCTCAAGCACCCACCTATGAAGCCCCCCTTCACCTTGAGCCTCCAGGGTTGGGCATGCTGAGTGGCCCCCAGCATCTGGGAGCAGGGAGGAGGGGACTGAGGTGGTACGTGGATGTGGCCTCAGCAGGCAGTTTGGGAAGGCGACCAGCAGCCTGGGGGAGTTATAAATTCTCCTCTGCTGGGACAGTCACGTGCTCAGACATGTACTACCCACCTATGAAGCCCCCCTTCACCTTGAGCCTCCAGGGTTGGGCATGCTGAGTGGCCCCCAGCATCTGGGAGCAGGGAGGAGGGGACTGAGGTGGTACGTGGATGTGGCCTCAGCAGGCAGTTTGGGAAGGCGACCAGCAGCCTGGGGGAGTTATAAATTCTCCTCTGCTGGGACAGTCACGTGCTCAGACATGTACTGGAGGCAGGGTGACCAGATGTCCTGTTATAAAGGGGCAGTGCTGTATGTAACTGCTCCTGCAGGTGTCCTGACTTTTCTTAACACTGGGCAAATTGTCCCATGTTTTATATTGTCCCCCTCCCCCATTAGCACTGGCAGATCCTGCTGCTGGCCAGATCCCTGCTCACCAGCTGCCCACCCACCAGCAGTGAATGTGGGGGACATGGGGTGACGAGGCAGGTGGGGGTGTGAGGTGGGGTGGAGGTGTAAGGCTGGGGGGATGGAGGGAAAAGCTGCAGAGTGCAGGACGGGTTGTTCCCCTTGTTGGTGCATCAGCCCAGCCCCTGCTGCCTACTGGCTCTGCCAGCCAAGCTCCCATGTCCCATCTGGCTGGCGCTGGCTGGGAGCCGCAGTGGCTGGTGAGTTGAGACAAGCAGCAGCCAGTTGTGTTTCCTCTGCTGCCCACCCTCAGCACTTTACATGCTCCCCCCTTGCTGTCCTCTCTCTGCTTCGCCCCTTCACCCCCAGCCCTGCTGCCTCTCTGTATCCTGCCCCACTGGGGCGCATCCCCCTCCCAGCGCTCTGCAGTGAACCAGCCCCTGGTGAGAGCACTCGGCTCACCCACAGCCCGTCTGGCTGGCTCCTTCCCTCCCCCTGCCTCTGGTTGGGCCAGCACCCCGGGAAAGCTCAGACCCTCCCATGTGGGGCGCTGGCCAGGAGCTGAGCCCTGCCTGTGCCAAACCCCACACAGGGCGGCCCAGGAAAGTGTCTCCGGCCCCCGGCTGAGCTCTGGGGAAGTGATTTCGGGTCTGCTCATGCCCTAACCCTGCAGGCTCCACAGCCACCCCCTGGCAGGGGCTTAGCACCTCCTCACCCCTCCCTACTCTGGGTCCCGCTGTGGGGCAGTGTGTGTGTGTGTGGGGGCTGCTCTGTCCCCTAGGGCCCCTCCCCTGCTGAGCCACCTCTTTGGCTGGGTTGGCTGAAGCCCCTGCAGGCAGGGGCCCTGGGGCTCACTGCAGCCTTAGGGCTTAACCCTCCTGCCCTACACATGGGGGGTGTAGAGAGACGCTATCACATTCCTCCCCCGCACTTCTGGCTGTGGGAGCACAAAGCCCAGCGGAGGGTGGGACTCACAACCCACCTCCCCCTGAAATCAGTCAGTGGCAGGCACCTGAACAGCTTGGTGAATCCTGTAGTCTTGGTGCCTCAGTTTCCCCCATCTGTAGCATGGGGCTAATAGCCCAGCCCTGCCTCACTGGGGTGTGAGAGGATCAATACAGTGAGGGCTGTGAGGTGCTCAGATACTGTGGCAGTGGGGGCAGGGCAGCACCTGGTGCCTTGTCCACACCAGGAGGTGTTTCTGGGGCAGTTACAGTGGATCCCCCAGTGCAGACACATCCCTGCAGATTGTGCCAGAGCCCCTGGTCAGCACAAGCCACCCTGCTACCAGCCCAGCCATGTTGGTAGAACAGCTGTGGCAATAGGGCTTGTGCTGGTGCAGCAGAAACACCCTTAACCAAGGCCAGTAGGCTGGTAACACACCTTAGCCCAGGGTTTCCCAACCTATGGGTCGGGACCCAAATATGGGTCACCATTACATTTCAAAAGGGTCGCCAGGTGTCTCCCCAGGTGGCTCTGAAGGAGCCATTCTCACATTGTTTGAATTGCCCTGGGTCACCAAGTCTTCCTGAATTGTCCAAACGAGTCCCCATCTGGAAAAGGCTGGGAACCGCTGCCTTCGACAGACGCATATTTAACAGCAGCATGTCGGACAGCGGAAGCGTTTCCCAGCGACAGGCAGCACTCACCGCGCTGGGTCCAATGGGGAGCCATCCACCCAGGTCCACTTCCCCCCAGGGAATGTCGCTTTAACTCCAGTCCAGACAGAGTGTGTACCTTGGATAACAAGCCGTATGGAGTCCTGTGAGGGGCAAGCAGAGGGGGAGGGTGAATAGGCTCTAACAGGCTGGAATTCCCTCCGCCTCCTGTTAAATCCCTGCTCTGGCTCTGTTACGTGCCAGCAGGAGAACCCATCAGCCCCGAGCTCGTCCACCCTCACCCCCAGGCGGGCAGGGTCCCAGTGCAGGGGCGGGGAAATGTGATTCTTTGTGCAGACCTGGTAACACCAGCATCAGGCCTTGGTGACACAGGGAGCCCTGGGCTCAGCCTCACCTGTGAGGGTGCCCCTGGACGGAGAGGTTCAGGGGAGAGAAGCTGGTGACCTGGAGCCAGGCCTGGTGGGGCTACAAGGGCAGCCCGAGGCCAGTCAAGGCAGAGGCGCTGGCTCTGTGGGTGCTTTGGGGTTGCAGCACCCAGAGAAAATATTAGTGGCTGCTCCTGTGTTGTGTGTTACCAGCTCCTCCTGGCTCTGGAGCACGAGCAGTCGCGAGCTCTTCCCCCAGCAGTCGTCCCGGCTCCGAGTCCAGTTATTAGCCTGTTTTGACAGCCAGTAGCACTTGTCCCCGCGCAGCGGCCAACCCCTGGGGCAGAGTTTGCACCCGGCACCCCCTGGAGGGAGAGATGGGAACAGAGGTGTCATCAGTTCTCAACAGTGACCAGTTAAAAATGCTCGAAGTTCCTTTTGACTAGGACCCAGACGTCCCATTGTGGCTGGACAACCCCTTTTCTAATCCCGGTCCTGATGGTCCCAACATTTTTGGCAAAGCTGGGAATTTGTTCCATTTCCTCTTTTGAACTTGATCAGTCGGCAGCAGCCAATAAAACCCATGCCCCCTCCTTCCAAAAAGTGGAGTGCAGAGGAACATGCAGGGAGGGGAGTCAAGCCAGTGAGGCAGGGAGAGTCCAGTTATTAGCCTGTTTTGACAGCCAGTAGCACTTGTCCCCGTGCAGCGGCCAACCCGTGGGGCAGAGTTTGCACCCGGCACCCCCTGGAGGGAGAGATGGGAACAGAGGTGTCCTCAGTTCTCAACAGTGACCAGTTAAAAATGCTCGAAGTTCCTTTTGACTAGGACCCAGACGTCCCATTGTGGCTGGACAACCCCTTTTCTAATCCCGGTCCTGATGGTCCCAACATTTTTGGCAAAGCTGGGAATTTGTTCCATTTCCTCTTTTGAACTTGATCAGTCGGCAGCAGCCAATAAAACCCATGCCCCCTCCTTCCAAAAAGTGGAGTGCAGAGGAACATGCAGGGAGGGGAGTCAAGCCAGTGAGGCAGGTAAGGGCTTTGGCAGGGGCAGGCAAGGTTTGATCGACCAGTAACTCCATCCCTGTCCTGAGAGCGAGCAAGAGAGAGACAGAGGAAGGCTTTGGCTAGTCCCACAGGCCATGTCTAGACTGGCATGATTTTCTGGAAATGCGTTTAATGGAAAAGTTTTCCGTTAAAAGCATTTTCGGAACAGAGCATCTAGATTGGCACGGACGCTTTTCCACAAAAGCACTTTTTGCAGAAAAGCATCTGTGGCCAATCTAGACGCGCTTTTGAGCAAAAAAGCCCCGATCGCCATTTTCACTATCGGGGCTTTTTTGCTCAAAAGCGCGTCTAGATTGGCCACAGATGCTTTTCTGCAAAAAGTGCTTTTGCGGAAATTCAAGCGGCCAGTGTAGACAGCCGGCAAGTTTTTCTGGAAAAGCGGCTGATTTTCCAGAAAAACTGGCCAGTCTAGACACAGCCACACTGTTTCCCCTTTGGGAGATCTGGGCACCTTATTTTCAATGGAAAATGCCATTTTTACCAGACTGAAATACCTTGGGTGCCGCTGTTCCTGTCTGAGGGGGGAAGGGACTCAAAATGGAAATAGCGACTAGGAGTGAGGGGAAGGCTTCATTCTGTTTTGAAGGAAAATAAAGTTCCGGACATTGCTGAGGTTTCCCCCCCAGCAGGGGTCCCCGGCCTTTTGAAGCACGAGGTCACTTTTTGAATTTAAGTGCAACCCAGGATCTACCTCAAACCCAAATCCCCTGGCCCCGCCTCCTCCGTGCCCCTTCTCTGAGGCCCCGCTCCTGCTCACTCCGTTCTCCCTCCCTCCTTTCCACCCCTATTCTCCCTCCCTTTCATCAGGCAGGGGCTGAGGGTCGGGGCACAGGCTCTGGTCTTGGGCCAAGGGATCTGCCATGTGAGAGGGGCTCTGAGCTGAGCCTGGGGCAGGGGCTTGGAGTGCAGGAGGGATTTCATGACTGGGGCAGGGGTTCAGAGCTGGCTCTAGCTGGACGCTGCTTACCTCAGGTGGCTCCTGCATAGTGGAGCCGAGGCAGGCTCAGCCCTGCACCACTCTCAAAAGCAGCCAGCAAACTCCCTCCATCCCAAGCCCTGTTGTGCTCCTCCTCTCTCCCCCCGCCCCGGTTTTGTGGAGATAGGATACACGGTGGGAGAGGCGGCACCCTGACCTCAGCACCTTCCTCTCCCTCCCCTGCCCTGCACCACAAGCAGGAGGCTCCCAGGGAGGGGCAGCTCCAAGTTAAAGGGCAGGAGATGCGCAGCAGTGGGGGGAGGGGCAGCTGAAGTGCTGGCACTTGACAGCCTCTTGGCCAAACCAATGAAGATCTCCTGTCAGAGGCTCCAAGATCTACCAGTAGATCCTGATCTACTGGTTGGTGACCACTGCCTTACAGCCACGTAAAAAGCCGTCAGACTCCATGTCCTACATAAGAACATAACATAAGAACGGCCGTACTGGGTCAGACCAAAGGTCCTTCTAGCCCAGTGTCCTGTCTGCCGACAGTGCAGCATTTACCTTGCACCCGCCAATTGGGACTGAGAAAAATTTAAATTGACAGGAGTTTGGGGTGGAGACGACATCCCTATTTCTGCACCTAGAACATTACAGCATATTAAAATCTCCACATCTACTTAAATATCACCCTACAGTCTGGACATTGATTTCCTGCTGCTGTTACGAGGGGAGCTGACTGGCAAAAAATTGCCTTTTTTCACAATGAAGGGTTTTTCTCAGCACGCAAACAGCCAGGCAGACTGTAGCCTGGCAGAGCTGGGGCCGCAGCGGAGAGAATTCCCTTGGTGCCTTGACACAGAGTTGCTCTCCTGCTCACACCCTGCTGTAATTCACTTGCCAGTGCTGGAATCACTGGCTGGAATCTCTAGGTTGGCACATTCAAATGTCGTTTCTTGGGATTAGACCATGTCAGGTCACAAAAGCTGACCAGAGATGGGCCCAGTTTGTGGCCAGTGGCAGAGCTCAAGGGACACTCAACGTACGTCTAGACGACAGGCTTTTGTTGATAGAGGCTTTGTCAACAGATACTGCCGACAAAGCCTCTGTTGACAAAGAGTGTCTAGACTACAGCCAGTTCTGTCGACAAAGCTAGACGCTCTCTTTCGAAAAAGCACAGTGTGGATGCAATAGCGCCATTGTTGGCAGAATTCTGTCGACAAAAGGCGATATTCCTTGTAGAATGAGGTTTACTGCCCCGTTCTGTCAATGTTATGTTGACAGAACTCGGTGGTAGTGTAGAAGCAGGTATAGTTTTGTTGACAAAAGTACACTTTTGTCCACAAAACCCTGTAGTCTAGACACACCCTCAGTGCTGAAACAAATAAAACTGATGAATGAGACAGAGGGATACCACCTGCTGAGGCAGAACTATACCCAGTGCCCGGCCTGGCAGTAGAAGGTGGTTCACCACTACTACTGCCATGGTTCAGAGGAGATCTGAAAGCAAGGTCCCCAGAGAGTCCTTAAGGAATTCTGCACCACAGCGTGTGTGCAGAGTCCACGTCCCCCACAGATTTCTCTGCTTCCCTGCAGAAAAATAACTTTTCTAGAGAAGCAAAGGGAAGTTGCAAGAGCAGTCACACTCTCCTCCCTAGCTGTGCAGGTGCATCACTTGAGCCAGGATCATCACAGAAACCCCCAGAAGCCTCCCCCAGCTGCAGGTAGCTCGGTATCCTTCCCTGCTTCCTGCCCCTCCATTGCTCCTCATCTGTGGGAAGAAGGGTCACTTTAGGAAAAGCTGCTTCCCCGTCCACCCATCCCCTCTGCATCTGGGCCTCCCACATCCAGACACCCTTGCCAAGCATCTGCTCTCTGGGATTGCACAGCCCACTGCTTGTGGCCAGGAGGAGCTGTTGGTGCAAGATGCAGGTTCCTGGTACTGGCAGCAACATGTTCCTCTCCTTTGGCCGCAGCATCTCCTGGGAGCAGAGCCCTGTGGATCAGTGACTGCGGATTTCTAAGTGGACATCAATTTCTATCTGTGGATATCCGCATGTGTGGGTAGATATTTATACCTGTGCAGGGCTCTGCTGGCTGAACCTATCTGCCCTGCACCTCCTGCAAAGGGGCAGGGCCCCAAGGTGTGTCTGGGCCGGATGCAGCTTCACCCGCTGCGTCCATGTCTCACAGGCGGGAGCTTCGGAGCTGCAGGGTGATCTCCCACCTTTGTGCAGCCAGTGGCCTAGGCTCCCCACTGCCAGGCTGGAGCCCCTGCATTTATTAACAGAGAAAACTTGCAGAGTTTTGCAGAACTCTAAAAGAGTGGGCAGAATTCTGAATTGTTTGGCCCAGAATTCCCTCAGGAGTAAGCGTAAGAGCTGCCCTGTTGGATCAGGTCACTGTCCCTCTTGGTCGGTATCGTGTCTGTGACAGTGGCCCTACCAGAGCTTCTGGGGGGATGCACAGAACAGGGCAATTATGGAGCGATTCACTCAACTTCCACTCCCAGCTTCTAGTAGCCAGAAATTCAGCCTCCCACTGACCAGGGGGTTGTATCCTAGAGCATCTTGGCTAAGAACCGCCGATGGATCTGTCTTTCATGCATTTACACAGTTCCTTCCTGAGCCCAGCTCTACTTTAGACCACAACATCCCATGGCAGTGAGTCCCACAGGTTAGTTGCGCACTTTGGAAAAAGTCACTGCCTCAGGTTGTATTAAACCTGTTGCCTTTTAATGTCTTGAGGGGACCCCTGGGTCTGGTATTGTGGGATGTGTAAATGATGCCTCTTTATTCACTTTCTCTACATCATTCATGTCCTAGCAGATCCACCCTTAGTTGTTGCTTTTCTTAGGCTATGTCTACACTGCTTCCCTCTTCCACAAAAGCCTTTGCAAATGAAGCGTGGATTAGCATATTGCCATGCTTCATTTGCATAATTAATTTGGGGGCGCTTTTGCACAAGCAGTTTTTGCGCAAAAAGGTGCCGTCTACACAGAGCCTTTTTGCACAAAATCTCCCTCTTGCACAAGAGCCATTCTTCCTAAAAAATGACAATTTGTATCTCCAAGTCAGCGGCACAGCTTTATGGCTGACCTTGAACAACATTTCCTCAGATCTCGCTCCCTAACACCCCTACTTTACTTACGCTACATTGAGGACATCTTCATCATATGGACCCACAGAAAAGAGACTCTTGAAGAATTTCACAGGGATTTCAACCACTTCCACTCCACCAACAGCCTGAATCAGTCCACACGAGAAATCCACTTCCTGGACACTACAGTACAGTTAAATAATGGACAAATCTCCACCACGCTATACTGGAAACCCACCGACTGCTATGCTTACCTTCATGCCTCCAGCTTCCATCCCAGTCACATTTCTCAATCTATTGTATACAGCCAAGCCCTAAGATACAACTGGATTTGCTCCGATCCAGCAGACAGAGACAAACACCTACAGGATCTTTATTGAGCATTCCTAAAACTGAAATACCCACCTGGGGAAGTAAAACAACAGATTGACAGAGCCAAAAAAGTACCCAGACATGAACTACTTCAAGACAGACCCAAAAAGGAGAATAACAGAATTCCATGTGTTATTACCTCTAGTCCACAACTGAAACCCCTCCATCGTATTATACACAATCTGCAATGCATTTTGGAAAATGATCCCTCACTCTCAAAGGCCTTTGGAGAAAAGCCTATTCTTGCTTAAGGACAACCCCCCAACCTGAAACAAATTCTTTCCAATCACCATGCTACACAACCACATCATAAGCATCCAGGAACCCAGCCCTGCAATCAACCATGGTGCCAACTCTGCCCACATATCTATACAAGCGAACTCATTACTGGAGGCAACCACATAAGTCACCAAATTAGAGGCTCATTCAACTGCACATCCAGTAATTTAATCTATGCCATCAAATGAAGCAAATCATTTAATGGCACAGCCAATAATTTGATCTATACCTTCAAATGCCAGCAATGCCCCACTGCTATATATTGAATCAGAGGATCATTCAACTTCACAGCCAATAATTTGATCTATACCTTCAAATGCCAGCAATGCCCCACTGCTATATATATTGGACAAACTGGACAGTCCCTATGAGAGAGAATCAATGGACACAAATCAGATATACATAAAGAGAACATACAGAAACCTGTTGGAGAGCACTTCAATCTACCTAATCACTCTTTAAAAGATCTCCAGGTGGCTGTCTTGTCACAAACCAATTCTACAAGCCAAATACACAGAGAGGTGTTGGAATTACAATTCATCCGCAAGTTCAATTCTCATGCTAATGGCCTCAATAGATGAGGGATGCCTGGGACATTATCAACCTAACATTCAATGAAGGTGCAAACAGCTTTTTATGTAGATTCTTGTGTTAGTACTTTTCCTATCTATTGCCTTTGATCCTTATCTGCTTCATTTTAACTAGCCAGTCTTCAGGTGTTTATTGATTGCCAGTTCTGCCTTCCTGTTTTTCCCTTTGATATTTTCATACCCTCTGCTCCTTGTTTCCCACGCTCCTCCATTTTTTCCTTCCCCCCCTCTCCCTTCTTCCCTATTTATTTTGGGTCTGTACATCCTAAACTCAAAACTCCAGTCTTCTGAAGAAGTGGGCTGTGCCCATGAAAGCTCATGATACCATTTATAGTATGTTTTGTTAGTCTATAAAGTGCTACCAGACCATTTGTTGTTTTTTAAGTCTGACCACTAGGTGTCACTGCTGCTCCTCTGCACAAACAGCTGAGAGTTATTTATTTTACCTAAAGATGGTAAAGGTTCTGGGGCAGGCACTATGGATGATGTGAAAGTAAAATAACCACATGGGTACAGAAGGAAGTAGCCACAGCATTTACCTTGCACCCTCCAATTGGGACTGAGAAAAATTTAAATTGACAGGAGTTTGGGGTGGAGATGACATCCCTATTTCTGCACCTAGACCATTACAGCATATTAAAAATCTCTGCATCTACTTAAAATATCACCCTACAGTATGGACATTGATTTCCTGCTGCCGTTACAAGGGGAGCTGACTGGCAAAAAATTGCCTTTTTTCACAATGAAATTCTTCACAGAACATTTTTTGCATTGGAATGTTTCTAGGTTTTGTTGAACTAGCCTTCTGCCTCCTGAACACTTTGACTGAAAAATGGAAGTTTACTCCTATCGTTAGCCCTCTTCACATGGTCACATTAGCGGTGTTGCCACCTGTCATGTTTTTATCATGCATTCTGTGACGTTTGGTGTTTTCTTTTAACCCGTAGCTCCTGGAGCCAGAGGGTTAAGTGAGACACTCAGTTTCATGAAAGAAAGCTTCTAGCTTCATAATGACTGAACAAAGCTTGACTGCAGGACCCAAGTGGATCACTAGATGGCAAATAGAAACAACCCAAATGGTACAATTTTCCTAAAATAGACTAATCTCAGGCTTTTTAAGGCCTCACTCAGGGTTTTTGGGTGCTTGGGGATCACAGCATTGGTGTAATGTAGATAAAGAGGTATCATATGCATGACAATTTCATCCATTGTATTTCAAGCTCAGGGTCCCTTTTGGTGGTTTCCTGCGATAGCTGCAAACTCTTTAAGGGAGAGTGAGTCACGGCTCTGGGACAGTAGGAGCTGAGGTTACCTGCTGAGCTGCCATGTTGAGGTTCACATAGAATTGATTTCAAGTGAGACCGGAAATCCTCCAGGCCGGAGCTGCCTTCAATGCAATTGACAATTCTGGTTTCACTCTTCTCGGATGTATTCAGATCTCCTCTGCACTGTCCTTCACAACAGCTATACAACTGGGAAACTTCAAAAGAGCAACACTGTCAAAGAAAATCACATCTGTTGCAGCTATTTAGGGACTAATAAAACAATTGTGTGAGCTGGGGGAGGGGTGTAAAATCATTACACAGTGCAGCATCCAGCCAGTGCTGGATTAATGCAGAAGGGGGTTTTAGGGGCTGCAGCCCAGGGCCTTGGGCTGAGGGGACCTCTGCAAAAATAAGTCCAGCTGGTCACCAACCCACCGATTGTGATTGACTGGTCAGTCCTGTTGCCTCTGCCAGTCAACCTGCTGCGATCTCCCCAATTCCAGGATGCTAAAAATCCAGCAGCACAACAGGACTCAGGCAAGCTGCCTGCGTACCATGGTCCTATGCTACTTCTGGAATTGGTCAGGTGCTTGAAATCTCTGGGGGTGGGGGAGGCTGCCCCACCCCCAGCACCATCCCCATGGCTCCCTCTGCCTGGGAACTGGCCAATGGGAGCTGCAGGGGCAGTGCTTATGGGCAAAGGCTGTGCACAGAGATACACTGTCCTTCTCCTCCCAGGGCACACTGAGATGTGCCATCAGCTGGCACGTGTGGGGAGCAGTGTGGGACCATGTCATGCAGGCAGCCTGCCTGAGCCCTGCTGCACCGTAGTCCAGGAGCCACCTGAGATACACAGGGTCCCTGAAAAATCTAATAGCCCAGGCCCACAGGAGAGTGACTCCAGCCCTGTGCCCATCGCACTGGGGTGAGACAGGGAATCCCACTCATTGAACACACAGGAGCATGCCTGCCTGGGCCCTCCCACACACGTTTCAGGCATCCAGCCCTTAATCTTGTTCCTGGGACATTTTCCTTGCTGGCAAGGCAATGCCTGTGAGTTCATTCACACACCGACTGGAATCGGAACGGGAATGGCATTCAGATTTGGGGATGAGAAGAGAATTTGTGGTGCAGCATCAAACCCAAATGGGTCAATAGGTGGGTGCTACTTACCCCAAGCCCCCAGCGCTATCACAATTATTGTCAGGATGATGATCCAAGCCCATCCAGCCCCTATAGCAAAGAAATGCCATTGGGGATATGGAGAGGAACCTATAAGAAACATTGTTTGGAGAAACTTCATCAGCCCCCAGACCATCTACACTGGCGTTTCACTGTAACTTTCTGGCTCAGGAGTGTGAATAAATGCACCCATCCCCTTTTCCCGCAGTGCAGGAAGTTCCAGCGCTTAAACGCACCCATCCCCTTTTCCCGCAGTGCAGGAAGTTCCAGCGCTGTAAAGCGCCAGTGTGCAGCAAGCTACAGAACTGGGAGTGCTCAGAGTGGTTCACACAGAGCGCTGGGAGAGCTCTCCGCTTGCACTCGTGCCAGGGCCGCGACAGCACCTTACACTCCTAAGTGCACACAGAGCTCTGTGTGAGAATTAGCAATGATGCTTGTTCTTCCTCAGCACCCACTCCTCTGCATAGAGCACTGGGGCAGTTTTAATGATGCAGCCTCTTTCACCCGTTTCTCCCAGAGACACATTGACACCTTTTTCTCCACTGTCGCTTATGACTGGATGGAAATCATTGTGTACAGCCACTACTGTGCCCTGCTTCCTATCCTTTCCTATGGCCTCTCTGTAAGGAGGCATCCATGGTAAATGCTTAGCAGGGTTGCCGGTCCAGGGGAGGTGGGGATGCGGGAGACAAAAGGGGCAGACAGGAAAGGTCTGTAATTTTTTGTGAACAGAAACATCTTTACACCTCGCTCACCCTCTGTTTTCAAACCGCGTGCACTAGGGAAAGGGCTAGAAACGAACGTGTTGTGATAATTGAAGCCTGTGACACTCACAGAGTTTCTAATCGCTACAGGAGACTTAAATTTCTTCCTGTTGTAACCCATGTTACTTCTGGGTCAGCTCCAAAATTGCATCCTTCTGCGTGTAAAAGTGGATCGTTGTGTGTGGATTTTCACACACACCTAATTCAAATCACTGTTGTGAACACTACAGAACTAACTTTCCTGGGATTGCAAGTGGACACAAACAGTGGAAATAGTTTTTTAATTTCAAAATGGCTCATTGAATTTATTTTAACATTTCTCAGGGAAATCATGGTGTAATTTTAGAAGAACATGAATTATTTTGAGATTCAGAGGAGGAGGGTTAAGAAAAGGAAGGCGGAAGGTCAAAGTCATCCTTACATTGACATTTGTCTTCCAATTTTAGTTATGACATGAAGTCAATGCTAGGACTTCATGATTTTGACAGAAACTTAAGAGACAAGTTCATTTTAATGTCAGCCTTAGACACTGATCCTAGAGAGATTTCAGCACAGGTGTAACGTGGAACCCATGAGTGACCATTGCAGTGGGGTGACTCATCTGAGAGAAGTTAAACAAGGGCATAAAAATCTGCGGGGTGGGGCTTTGGGAGGACCCACAGCACAAATCTTTGCACCCTGGCTGCAAGTAGTTGAAGGATCAGGCCCTTAGTTGTAAGACAGGAAATACTGTATTGCCAAGGGTCCTGGTGGATTCATCATCACTGACAAGTTTAAAATCAAAACTGACTGTTGTTTTTTCTAGATCTACTCTAGGAATTATTCTAGAGAAATTCTAATGTCAGACTGGATCGGGGTGGGGAACCTACAGTCCAGTTTGTCTTGATCCGGCCCATGAGGCTCCGGTCCCCCCCTCTTTCCCCCGCCCAAAAGTGGGGCGAAATAACACTGGAGCTCAAAGAGGAATTTGCAAACTTTCACTCATCTCATTTTTAAAGCAAGTTTGGAATCATGTTGCTCTTAAAAACTGAACTTGCACAGATGCCTTTTTAATCTTGATATAGTGTGTGTCTGTCTGTGCATCTGTTTGTCTGTTCAAGAACTCCTCCTAAACCATAAAAGCTAGGAGCACCAAGTTTGGCAGGCGGCTTCCTCTTACCCTAACTTAAAGAACGGTCTGGGGTCGGTTGTGCCTGGAAAATGGGAAGTGCTGGGAATGGGACTGTTTCCCATAACACGGAAAGGATGGGGACAGAGGGAGGAGGGATGTGACAGGGAGGGGCACAGACCAGGGAGGGATGCAATACTGAGAGTGGCCACTGGGGGGCAGCTGACAGTGGTTAGCAGGGTGGGGTCTCTGCTGTCTTCCCTGCTTCCAGAGTAGCTAAGGCGTTTTCTTGCCCCAAATCTGGAGCCTGCCCCCCTCCTGGGAGAGCCTGGGAGGAGCTTGTGGGAGGAGCACTGGAAGGGGGAACAGCACCCAAAGCTTGGCCCCTCCCCAGACAGTCTGCAGGTGCTGGGGGAGGGCACTGAAGGGGGCAGATGGAAGGAGAAGCCCTGGAGTCTGGCCTCTGTCCACACAGCCTGCAGGTCATGAGTGGGGGAGGCTGCTGGAGGCCAGGGGGAACCCCCAGAGCCTCGCCACCCCAGACAGGGTGCAGGGGGAGCACTGGAGAGGGCAGCCCCCGGAGCCTCATTCCTCCCCAGATAGTTTGCAGGCCACAGGGGAGGGCTGCCCCAGCCCCCTTGGGAGAGTCACTGCTGAAACAGCACACTTTCACTGCTATG